GCCTTTAGAGGAGTAGGAAGAGAATGAAGAGAGGCTCAAGCAAATGAAAAGATCCAGTCTTGATAAGAACACCATTAGTGGTGCCAACAGCTGCTGAGGACGAGCTAGATCTAAGAGCTGGCTGGGAAGAGGGCGTTAAAGAAGGGGGGAATATGGGCTGCAGAAGGTTTGGGGTGGGACTGGAGAGGAGGATCTCCCAACAGCGATGGTGACAGTAATAGCAACAGAGATGAGGTTTAGGATAAGAGGGGAAGACAGAGTGAAGCAGTGTCTGGGGAGTGGTGCTGGGCATGAGCAGTTGAGTATTTGGCTGTGAAGTCTATAGAAAAATTAAGTTATTTTTTCGATAGCTATTTAGGATCCAAAAACTATGACAGTACCGTTCTTTGTTATCTTGCTTTTATAATGTGTCTGTTTTATAACTAAAAACTTGGCTTCTGTTTTGTGGTTGTTTAGGTCTGCCCTTTGTGAGATTTTTTGCACAATGTAAATTTTCCTCTTGTTTATTAATACCCTTGCCCTTTTTTTTCTTCCAAATGTCACCTATTTTGTTTAAGAATTGTACCCTGGGGTGCTTCAATTATGCATGAATGTGGAGTATTTGGGATGTGCTATTCACAAGTGCTTTCAACTTGCCATCTGAGCTTTGAATATAAGCAGAATCGCCAATATTTTAGTTTCTAGGGCACTTTTAAATGTGCAGTCAAGGTGCAGCTTTTGTTCCTAAGTGCTCAGTTTTTTACCCAGTTTCTAGTGAGACCTTACGAACCTTCCACGTGAATTTTCCATAGAATAAATTGCTAGCACAGAGCAAGGAAATTCCTGTCGGCTTGTAGCAGAGATGCTTACTCTGAGATCTTCCTTCCAGACTCTCTCTAGCAGTTTGTCTCTGTAGCTGAACATGCTTGGTTTGAGTTTCTGAATGACAGGTGATTGGCTTGCCTCTCATCTGTCAACATGTGAAATCTCCTGCTCAGAAATGCGATGTCTTTTCGGATTGTCTCTGTGTAGGCAAATGGTCTTTCCGGGCCACTTTGCACTGTTTTTCTTGTTTTGGAAGAGCTCAGCACAGTCTTCACCCATACCCTGTCGCTTGGGCATTCCGGTATATTGATTGATACCTACCTTTGCATTTGCAATGGGAGGAGGCAGAAACGGTTGTAGGTGGAAGAAAAGATGAGCCAGAGACTGTGAAGATCTTTTCTTACTGTCAGGCTTTTAAAGGGAAGAGATTGTTAGGATGCTGCATGGAGACTGAAGGCAGAAGAGAGGAGGGTTTGAGGGATGGGTTAAATGGTGTGAGAAGAGAGAGCTGGTATTGTGTGAACGGGATTAAAACATGTTGGATTGAAAGTATCTGGTGCAGTAGGGCTGCAGTAGATAGAGAGATGGCAGAACTGAATGCGTAGCTGTTCTGGTAAGACACAAATAATTGAGGCATGACTACAGAAAGCTCCGTTTCTGTCCCAGCACTGCAGGATAAAGAGCTTCAGCCTGTAGTTGCCTGCTAAGACAGACGATGTCACATCTATAGAAGTTATCCTGTTTGGTGCTGTAGATTGAATGGATCAGTAACCACTAGAAAAAGATACACAGTAAAAGTGATCTTTGCAGATATTCGAGAAGCGTTGCTTTGACTGTCACCCGCAGAAGCAGAGGATGTTGCTGCCAACATCTCCATCTGTTGTCCAGCAGCAGTTGTCAGCCTGTACTTCTGATGACATTTTGCTGTTGGAGCACATGGAAAGGGCACAAAGCTCTAACGCTGTCACAGGGCAAACCAGGAGCTCTGGTGAGTGGTTTAACAAACGGTTTTTGGGGAGTAGCTTCTGACTGTGCTTGTGAAAGTCTTGCAGCCATTTTCTGGCAATTCTGTGCTTTTTCTGCAGACTGCAAACTGTTAAATACCACTTCTAATGCATTACAGAATGGGGAGGAATGCTGTGGGCTTCAGTGGGCAGGATCTTAATGATTTGAGGTAGAACGAAATAAGCTGGATGAGAGGATGGGGAGAGGGAAAATAAAAGCCATATGGGATCCTAGGCACTTGCAAGGATATTTGAAGCTATGCCTTTGCCAGTTGTCTGTACCCAGCCGCTGTTTCACAGCAGCCTTTATATCTTCCAACATTATGCTGCCGTCACCCATCTTCCCAATAGAGCAGAGCATGATAAAGCTTTGAATGATGCTTCTCCAAAACAAGAAAAATTGTGCCAAGAACAAAGGCTGTGCTTGGATAGGCAAGGAAGTGCCCAAGGAGAAAAAAAGGGGATATATTTAACATTGGAGGAGGAGGGAAGGTTCAGCAGTGGGTATGGATGTTTGAGTAAAGGGCAGTGGGAAGGTGAACAGAGCAAGGGAGGGATGAGAATCACAAGGTGGCCATTACAAGGACCCTAGAGAGAGAGCAGAGCGTAGAGGGAGGGTGCCAGGTGCACAGGGAACTCTGCTAGCAAAACCTATGGGGTATGTAGATTCCTGGTAGGAAAATAGTGATATCTCAGTAGAAAGTTGCATGGTGGGCATGTGCTTTGAAGTAGGTGCTTGCAGACCCAAACCAACCCATGGTGAGGGACCAATTGACTCACCAGCAGACTGTCTCATCTCTTGGGGGATACTCTATGGGGAACACGAAGTGAGCATGGAGCAGGAGAGACTCTTGGTTGGCTAAGACTTACTGCAGTAGGGGAGGGAAGGTGTAAGACACTTTCCTAGACTTAGAGGTTCCTGCTTTGTTTTCAGCTCAAGTGGGAGTCCAAGGTCAAAACTAATGTGTCTGCATCTTTTGTCTCCACTGCTTTGTCTGTAGATTTTAAGGGCTTGATGTGTGGTCTCTGTGCTGTCATACTAGTACCCTAATCTTAATTTCGATGCCCATAATCATGAAATACCTTTTCTGTAAATTTGGAACAGGCTGCCCTTTGTATGCGTTCCACTGTTAAGCTGCTCTCTGGAGCCCTAATTAATAACCTAAATGACTTATCATAATTAGCTAGTCCTCAGCCTTAGCATTGGGGAAAGCACAAATTTGACAGCTGTCAAAAGTGAGTGGAGCACGATCAGGGAGTCTACAAACATTCCTGCCTTTGTCCTCATCTGGAAACTGTTTCTATCAAAATAGAGATTATTTTTTTTTAAGATAAATAATGTATATTTAAGACTTTCTTTTATATATGCTGTACTTCTTTTTGGAATTAGTGTGCATTCGCCTTGAACCAACATCTTTGTTTAGCATGTCAGTTACTTCAAAATACAAATTATGTCTCATTTCTCAGAGATTTCCTACATAACACACTCCTCTGGGGTCTGTTCTACGGTGCATGAATTGCTAGGGAATATTACATTAATATGCCTAGAATACCAGTGCTAGGAGATACACCATCTAAAATAGGGAGAAGCTGTTTAATTGAATTTTTTTCTTCTCCAAGATCATTGAGATAAATTACTGGGAGTGCTACTGTAAATATGAACATTTTTGTTCTCTGAGCATTGTGATGAACTTTGCTTTATGAAGGAGTGTGTTGGTAAGTGAAACAGGTGCATATACAGGAAAGCAATGCTGTATGTTCTGGATGGTTGAAGTCTCAAACAAGTTTAAGAAAAGCTCGTTGTGGATCCATCACTCCAACAGACAAGGCAAAAATCCTTTTCCCTGCTCCTAAGTACTGAGCAAGTTTCAGCTTTTTCTCTGACAGGTAAAATTTTCTGGAATTCCTAAAAGACTTGAGTATTTCAGAGCCAAAGTCGTGAAGGCAGGCCTGAGCAAATTTTTCAGAAAATTTGCATTTGTGTGTGGTTTTAAATCTTTACAAGCTCCATGGGTGTTTGAGTGACTGAGCACAGTGTCTGCTTCTTCTCCTTTCTCTTTCCAGCAGGTTATTTCTGCTGACTTTTAGAACAAGATGAAGGTCAGATGCCTAGTTGATTTTAATAGGTGTTCAACTCTGGTGAAAGTTATGCTTGTAAAATACTGTCAGTGAAATAAAATCAAAGGCTTGTGTACAAAAGAAGGGTGATGTGTTCTCTCCTTCTGCATGACAATGCAGAAGACTCCTCTTCTAGAGGGATCACTTGTAGGAATGAAGCAATAGCTTTACTTCAGTGCTCTTTCAGTTGGTGGGACGGTGTTTGGTTAATTATAGTCACATTACTAAGGGATAAATGTTCCTGCACTCTAACACAAACATGTATGTCCACCTACAGATGCTACAGATGATGGTGACAGCTCTCTTGAAATGCATAGCAATGTGGACTGTACTGCAGCAGGATACACGCTAAAGCTACTGCAGCCTGCTACAAATGAGCCAGGCAGTTCTCTATTAACAGCAGCATATCGTGCTGTATCCTGCTTCCTGGCTCAGTCTGGTTTGGTGGGTTGTCTCCAAATTGTGGTCTAAGTAAAGGATCTAAGAATTAGCTCTGTGCCTGGCGAGTTTGGTGAGGATGTTCTGGCTGGTTGGGTATGTGTATTGCTGGCTCCTCTCATTTATGGGGGTGCACACACACTTGCATCACAGCCTAGGGGTTGCTGCCAACAGAAATAAAACTGCACATTACTGCAGTGAAGCTAATGGGCCATTTCCTTCTGGTCATCTTGTAGGGGCCTTTCTTGAAACTGAAGTTCCCATGCTCTCCTTTTGCTGGCAGCATTGAAGCCTATGCAGATTCAGTACAACACATAATCTCAGTTATGACTGGAGTCTTTTCTTGCCAAGCAAACAATCTTCAAACTGCACAACAGTGACAAGGACCTCAGGAAGCCCTTAAGCTGAGGCAAAGGACGTGGTATTTATCAGTAGCTGTGCCAGCTAACCTGAGGTGGTTTTAAAGTAACAGCCCCTTGAAAGGGACTTTAGATTAATTAGCAGTTTGTAAAAAGTATCTGCTGCCTTCATTCTCAGCTTGTCTCCAGTTGAGCTGAGCAGGTATGTTAGCAATTGCATCTGCTCCCTCTGGATTCCTTATAACCTTCTGACTTTTCTTACCATTTCTTGTTTAAGATTTATGTCCACCTCAAAGAAGGGAGTGGTGCTGACGGGCTGGATGCTTTGAAGAACAAACCGCAGCTTCACAGTATGGTGGCCAAAAGCCTTTGTCAGAACGCCTCTGGGAAGAACTACATCATCTTCACTGGCCCAAGCATTACCAGCCTGAATCTCTTTGAAGAATTTGAGAAGCAAGGTGTGTATCGGGTGACTCACTGGGTTTTACTGATGACAGACCTAGAGGCCTCCTGCCACTGAATTAAAAAAACCTCCCAAAAGACTTCACTGATATTTCAATTCCTTCTGTAGATAAGTTGGTCATCTCTAAGAAAAGTTCTCATTCATGAGAAGGTACTATACAGAGGGCTTTCTAAGTTGCTTTTTAAATCTTCCTCTTCAAGCCTTCTTGAAGCTCAAAATGAGGATGTAAAAACATATTAAATAAGGTTATTAAAGCCCTTGCTTTTGTTCTTTGCCATAGAAATGTGAGGTCTAATCTCCTATATGGCCTGGGGGACTTTTCAAGGGATTTCCTAGCTGCCTGTGATTTTTCTGTTCCCGTGGTGAAAGTTAGGGATGGCATGAATCTTTAAAGGTGTGTCTTATAAGTCCTTGCTGGTTTTAATACCTGTTAAAGATGTGACTTCTCTAGATGACATTTTATGGCATTGCAAAAGCCTTAGCAAAGTTTGCTTTAGTTGCTGGTATCAACATGCTTTGGGAGGGCAGTTTTTAGTTTTGAAAGCATAATAAACTCTACATTAGCAAAAACACACTTGCCAGCAAAATGTCTGTCGATATGGCTCTCCCAGCCAGTTTCTTGCTAGTGCAGAGAGTAATCCCAGGTCATCCTCTGTGTCAAATGCCCCCTCATGTTGGGTGTGGAAAAGCCACATGTTACTTTGCTTTCAGAAATGCTGAGGACTTGTGACTCCCCTTGAATTACAGGCTCCTGCACTCTTAACAGTTTTAAGTCATCTCAATGTAACTCTCCACTCATTCTTCAGTCAGCATGGCCTTTCAGACTCGGTGTGGTGTGTAGAATAGGTCCTTCGTAGCAGTAAGACTGGAGGCTGCCATTATGCATCACATACAAGAAGGCTACGGGGCCATTTCCCTTTTCAACACACCACTGACGACCAAGCTTTGCTTTTGGCATGGCTTTTAGGCATTGCGAAAATTAAACCCACCTAAAGCATTATATTAATGAAACATGGCCCAAAGCGGGGGGAAAGACTGGGAATTGAGACAATATCTTGATTCTCATTTAGAATAAGAACGCCAGTGAGCTGCACCAGTGCTGTAGCGGAGCATTTTAGACTGTGCTGGCACTGAGGGCTGTCTCTGTTGAGCTCCATGCAGGACTTAGCTCCTATATTATTTTAGGTAAGCTGGAAGCTCACAGGGTACAGTGGAATACTGCCATATTCTCACAAAAGAGTCATGGTTTCCCAAATGCTGCAAATAGCCAAATGGGAAAGAAGTCAAGCATATTTATAGTGTACTGGAGTTTTTTCCTCTGAGCAGAGACTGTTCTTTAGTAAATGACTCTTTTCACAGCTGATTATAAGCATTACATTTTTAAGACTACCAAAGCAATGATGCAAAATGCGGGTTCAAAAAAAGGTAGAGGATAACCCACATGCTCCTAGTACCCGAGGTGTGTCAGGTTTAAATGTAAAGACTGACAGACAAAAACTTGAGCTTTATGCTCAGCTGGGGCAGGATAAAGACAAAATGGCATGACCCAGTTGGTCCATAACCCCAGTGAAAAAGATGCAGGGCTACTAAACGAGCTGAGTGTTTATTACTTACAGATAAGTCCGCTTGTTCACAGAGGTGAATTATTCATGGTCTTTACACTGAACAGATCATTCAAATTAACAGTTTCTAGCAGGTAGCAAATTCAGTAATGTCTTTTTAAAGCATGTTTTTTGACTTACTATCTGATCAAATAGGCTAATGCTATACTGAGATTTCAGTTTGCTTCATGATTTGTTATATGGCTTCATGAGACTTTTTATGATATTTGACAGCTGCTTCCAAAATTAAATTTCAGATGTGGTACACACCATCACCTTCCTAGGAGTGAAGCTATGGGGTGGGTGGGGGACGACGTCAGTAAGCTAGCAGGTTTATTGGCTTTGCAAAATAGTGTGGCACTCCTATATAAAGAAGATCACAAGGAGAATGTGAAATTGTTTCTGTTTACTAAGGCCATGGGATTGTCTGTGTCTGCCATGAGTTACTAGGAGCTAGCTCAGAGGTTTTGCAGGGGGATGTTGAACTGGAAGGCCTATGAGACGCTGGGAGAGGTGAGATGCTAGAGATGTCAAGTAGTGATGAACTCACTAAGAGCCCCGGAGGAGATGATGGTGTTTATTGACTCTACCGCAAAGCGGCTAATGTATTGCCAGCACTTGCTGGGATCCTACTGCATTAGCAGTATGTTTGGGGACAAGCAGGCAGAGAAGCCTGGACTCAGCAGAGAGATCTCTCCTAATGTATCCCACAGTCACCCTCAGCTATGACCTTAATGCTTTTTTTGGTATGTGGCTTAGCCAACTAAATCTGAACAGGGCCACACCATGACCAAGAAGTGTCATGAGAGCCTGTTGAAAAGCATCTATGCTCAGGTGCTCATGACAGTTCAAGACCCATTCTTAAACTGACGAATTTACTTTTCTCGTTCAAGAAAGTATAGTTTCTGGGCTACAGCAGGATCAGTGGTAGAAAGATCCCATTGAGAACTGAAAACAAAAAGCAATCAGTATTGACCTTAACTGCTTTATGTTGGCGGGGGACACTATCAACAGAGAAATAGGGGGAGATTTAAATAAACCAATGCTTAGAAACTGTAAACTTTTTGGGAACCTAAACTGATATTTAAGGGAACTAAAGGGAATTCTGGAAAATCTAGAAAGAGGCACCCACTAAAAATGTATTAGTTCCTCTCAGAATTCTTGATGAAAAGAACCTGGGGTCTTGGTAGCCAACAAGTCAAACATGACTCAGCAACGTGCCCTGGCAGCAAAGATGGTCAGCACTACCGCGGGCTGTGTTAACAGGAGGGTAGCCTGTAGGTCGAGGGAGGTGATTATTGCCTCCTACTTAGCACAGTTTTGCACAACACTCCCCCACAATACAGGAAAGGCATTGATAAACTGGAGTAAGTTCAGCAGAAGGCCACCAACCTGACCAGGGGCTGGACCACATGCTCTGCTATGGGGAGGGAACTGTGCTTGTTCAGCCTGGGAAGAGAAGGCTTTGGGGGGACCCAACAGCAGCCTTACGCTACCCTAGGGAGGTTATCGAGAGAATGGAGCTGGCTCTTCACGGTGGTGCATCATGGAAGGACGAAATACAACAGACATAAGCTGAAACAAAAGAAGTTCAGACTAGATGTAAGGTTTTTCCTGAGGGCAGTGGAGCAAGGTGCCCAGACAGGTTGTGCAGTCTCTGTCCTTGGAGGTTTTCAAAACCAGACAAGATAAAGCCCTGAGCAGCGCTCTGACCTCAGAGCTGACCCTACTCTGAGCAGGGATGGGACTAGAGACCTCCTGAGTTGCATTCTAACCTGAATTATCCTTTAATCTATAGGATCCTGTGATCCTGTGAAGACTTTCGTGGAACCTTAACTATCGTTTGCTTTTCCTAACCCTAACCCACACAGGCATTACTGCAAAACCCACAGTGTTCTTTATTGAAAGCCTGCTGTGTAGCACCTTCACTGTACCACAGGAAAGAATAAGTGCCTAGTAATATAAAGGGATGCTGGTGAACATAATTCTAAGATCTGTGAAGATACCCAGAGCTGAGAAAACTTCAGAAAATAAGACAAGTCACTTTGATCTTTTTCAAAACCCAAAACCTGAATAGACCTCTTTTTTATTTTTCAGGGGACATACAAAGCGTTTCTTTCTCTGGCCTCTGAATAGAACTGGAAACCTGCACTGAAATGTCCCAAATTCTCTGTTCTGCCAGCAGACAGCTGTCATTATTTGCTGTGACATTCATTCATAGTGCATATCCCTTTTTCCTCCTCTAAGCATTAGTGTTTTCCATTACAGAGGACAGCACCTCCTAAAGCCCTGTGTCCCATGCTTCCCTTAAACATATGATCCCCGAAAGTCCCTTTTGTGCTTTCTTGAACCAGTTGGATCAGCTGGCTCTGTCCCGCAAAGCCGCAGAGGTTGGCAAAGCCACAGGGGTTGGCAAAGCCACAGGGGTTGGCAAAGCTGCAGGAGTTGCCAGCCTGGGCAACCATGGCACTCCCACAAGCTTTGCAGGATCCTGCAACTCCAGCACATGGACTAAAGCAAGCTCTCATCTCCTTCCCACAACAGGATCCCCCGTTGCCCTAGCTCTGACTTGACCCAGCATTGCATCCAGGATAAATGATTGCAGAATGTGTATTTTTGCCTGAACTAGCTCGAGCGTGGCTGCCTTTGCAAATGAATACGTGGTGAAGCAGGCTTCAGCAGAAGCTCTGCAGGACCTGGAGACCCTGGGAATGAATCTTGGGTGACTACACCACATTTCCTCATCTTTGCTAAGCTAGTTTAGGTGCAGGCATTTATATTGCAGTTAGAGTTTAAGAAGGCCAGGGGAGGACAACCTGTCTCCACCAATTCCTGTATATGTGGCAAACACCTGTTGTGATTCCGATTTAATTACACACAAAAACTTCATTGAGCCAGATGGGCATAATTTTTATTGCGTCTATTGCTATAGTAACTGGGTGGTTTTAAAAAACTTTACAGATTAAGGGCATCATCCATGATGAGAGATGCTAGTAAATCTGCAGAAGTGCTGCACTTTTCTAGGCTATACAGCAGGAACGTTACACAGTGTGTTCCTGAGAGAGGAAATGGTTCCCATTATTCTGTATGAGGAGTGAAGCATCTGCTGGAAGCTTTCTGCAGGCTTATCGCCTGAGCTAAAGGAAAGGCTACAATTAATTATTAAGGGATCTCAGAGATAGCTGTTGCTATTTTGAAGCTCTAGCACAATAATGTAGTTATTAGCTTGGTTTTAAACCATTGCAGTCTCCTGGAGAGAGTAAGTATCACCCTTCAGTGAGTCATAAACTTTAGACAGCTAAGGAAATTCTTCTCAGGCTTGTTTGTTATCAGAGCAGGAAGATCTTAATATTGGCTAGAAAAAAGCTTTCTAAAAGTTTGCTATGTTAATGCCAAAGTTTGCAGGTATGTGACCTACACTGTTTGTGTTCCTCTTAGCAAGAAAAGATTTAAAAAAAGCCTTCCACTGGAGGTGCAGTTTCTCCTATATTGATTGTAAGCCTGTTGCCATCAGGCTTTTCTCATTGTCTTTTGTGGAAGGAATGTACAGATTTCCAGGGACTGATATATGAATTAGAAATAACTGATGGAGTGCAGATTTACTCCTTCAGAATGAAGTTGCCCTATTGCTGTGTTGGTTGACCTTCTTCTGACATAAGTGTCTTAAATTTCTGATGAAAGAGCCTTACCTCCCTGTAGACCCACCCATAGCAACTGGACCAATCTATAGTATTAGCAATTATCATATTAGTATTCCTGTAGTATCTGTGAGCTGTTGAGGGGATGGTCACCATGCCAGGCGCTATGAGAACCAAGGACAAAGGCTGCACCTACACTTAAAAGCTTCGGTCATTCCAGAAAGACAGAGGCAGAAGAGCCACATAAATGGAAACCCAAGAACAGAGGTAACGCGCTCAGGGGAAGCCAGACGCTGTAGTCTGACTTAGCATTTCCCCTGTAAGGATATCCAGTTATGCAATGTGCGAAATTCAGCACAATGAAAAATTTGATCAGACTTAGCTGACAGATGAGCTCTCAACTACCACCAGCCTCATATGAAAGATGTGCACAGATGTCACCTGCTTCCATGCCCATCGTTGTTTTCCACTCAGGTGGGTTAACCTGGGGAGACCGAGGAACTTTCCATCCAAGATTTCCTTGAGTTCAATTAATTTGATCAAGAAGATCTTCTCTTGGACTAACAGAAACAGGCCATTCTTATTTCACAGTCTAATGACAAATTCAAGCATTGTCGTTATTAATGTTTGTGCCCACCTGGCTGCATTGAGGCATTTTTTGTGGTGTTAGATTTTATTCATTGCCTCTTTCATGTACGAAAAGGCCAAGAAGCTGTGAACAGCAGAATGTGTTGCCTGTGGAGCCTCTGATGTCTGTGCAGGACAAGATCAGTGCTCACTCAGCTAGGGCACTGTTTGGTTTATCTCCTTTTCCTAAAATCTGTTTTCATTGAACTTGTATTTCCATCTTCTCCATCCTTCGGGCACATGCGTTTTTTAAATCAACTAGTGGTTTCAGTGGTTCTTAATTGCTTAAGCAGCATTTCCTTAACTAACCAGATGATGCAGGTGCAAGGAGCAGTGAGGTGAAACTCAAGAACTGGGCAGCACAGTGAAGCAGTAGATTAAACCAGAGTTTGTCAGCTATGTATAGTGTGATTAAAAGCATCATGGGAGTCATGTAGGAGAATTTATTTCAGCTAACATCTAAGATGCTATAGCTTTCCCTACCTCCCCGCTCCCTCCACGATTTATTCTCTTTGTTAAACATCAAGACTCTCTTGCATCATAAATTCTGATTTGTTCCATAATACATATCACTGTCAGTGGGTTTTTTCAGTCCAATTTTAAGCTTGTGAAGACCATTACACAGATTATAGATGTTATTGTTAGCAAGATACCCTGAATTCTTTTCCCTGTCATTTCATCAGGACTGTGCAGGAGGTGTCAGTACCTTTCACCAAGAGAGCAGGCTTTCTGCACTTGTCTCAGTTTCCAGACACATTCATGTAGGACACGAATCTTTGGTATTACAGGAGGACAGTTGGCTAATGTATCTGTTGGATGAGAAAGTTGTAGGACAAGCTCTTCCTCTAGTCAGGTCATTCAGACTTGCTCCACTACTCTTGCTTTCTGGGTCCGTGCAATGGCTCGCTGATAGGGAATGTTTTTGTTCACATGCAGAGATTTACTGCTGTGGGTTGCTGAGCACCAGGAAGAGTGACTGCACAGGCCTACCTCCATCCATGCTGAACAACCCTGAAACTCCCCAGTCCAGAGGACAGTACAGAATAAGAATGAAGGGAAACATGTCCTTGATCTGCTGGTACAATAAAGGGCACTTTCGTTTTCTGACCAATGCCTATTCACCGGTTCAACAAGGTAAGCGACATTCCTACTGCTCATCTCAAAAGTGCATGTGCTTTATGTGACAAGGCAAAATGAGTCAGAGTTTGATAATAAGCCTGAACAAAGAGCTTGATCATAATATCCTAGATAAACAGTAGCAGTAGTGATTACTTCCCTTTTGTGTCCTCCTACAGCTATTCTTTTTTCCCATACAAAGGTTAAAAGCCTACTGCTAATGCAGCCTCCTTTGCCTGAGCTGGTGGAGGCAGTATCCTTTTAGGTATAAAGATTATATCTTTACTGATGGTCAGAGCAGGGAAGATGGTTGTTGTATAACCCATTTGCAAAGCATCTTGTAGGATTGCTGCTACAGAAAAATTAATAAATGTCATGGTGTACTTAGAACTCTGAGCAGATCCTACAATTAATTTATCTTATCCAGTAAAAACTTAGTCACAAACAAATGTCTTTTTGCCAGAAGTGAATACGATTAAGGCTTCCTGCTGTATGTTAAATTGGTTTTAGCAGTTGATGAAAAGAAACCAAAACAAATAACTTGGATAGTTCAAATAATTGCAAGACCTTCTTGATACTGAAATCTTTTCCTTTTTGAAAGTATACAGATAGTTTTAGGAAGGTTTGGAAACTTTTGTAAGATGCAGTATGATTAACTGGCTCTTTGAAATTCGTCCTCAAGTGAAAAAATTGTTTCAGTTTCTTTTCATTTTTATTATTCAGATTTATGTATAGCTGCCTGAGACAAATAAGAATAACCTAAACCTTTAAATGTAAAGCCACCAATTCAAAGGCATCTTGGTACACTCATGTCCTGAATCCTGAGTGACTCTCTCATGTGTACAGGCTACAGAAGCAAAGTTAAGGCCTTGAATTACTGTATGGTAAGCTGAGAAGTTGACTTTGTGTGTTGTTCAATGCTTTGCCAGAAGGCTCATTACCTTAGCAAAGCATGGCTGATCCCAAAGAATTCTGCTGGGCACACCAGCAGAACGAAGACTTGGTGACTCAGGTGGACTGGTGTCTGAGCACAAATGCTGAAAATATGTACGTGAAGGAGATAGGACACTTTGGGGACCCTGCTGAAGCCAGTCCCTGGAGCAGTGTTGCTCCCCATGAGGGGCCTTCACCGTCAGGATTTGTGCTGTTCCCCTTGTGCGCTTTGCTGGATTTAGATTATTCGACTGCACTAACTGGACGAGAGTTATCACTGCATGTCACCTGGGTTTTATAGGCTAGCTTGGACGATTTGGTTATAATTCATAAGTATTACTAGAAAAATACTGTTTGTAAACATCAGTGTTAACAGCCCCGTTAAAAGAAGGAGAGAAAGCAGATTCTGCCCTGGCAGCGTCCTTTACAAGCAGCACACGGAGCTGTGAGCTGTTGTGCTTGTGATTGACCTTGGGTCTGTTTTGGCATAGATGGGATTGTGGGTTGCCTGTGTGAGGTAACTTAACGTCCAGTGATGAGGACCTTTGTGTGATGGGCAAGACCTGCCCAACACATTGCTCACCAAATGCTGGCTGGGACAGTTGACATCATAGTTCACCGTGAATCAGAGCAGAAAACAGAGACCAGCTTTTTAAAGAGTGGTGCTAGGGGAAAAGAGAGTCTCTAGTAGAGAGCTGGGAACAGATGGAGACTCGGTAGGAAGGCAGAAGACCAGATTGCCTGCCTCTAATTTGGCATCTCTGAAGGCAGTGCAGCAAAGCTGGTTTAAACCAACTTGAAGCTGGACCACCAAAGTCTCCTCTAAGGCATGCAAATATAGAGGAGGAAGAGGAGGAATCCATGCTCCTTGAGGCAAGCCTGTAGCACAGAGCTGCTGAGCATATGTCTTAGATGGGAGAGGAGGTAGGGACAAAGGGGAATAAAACCCACGCCGGGTAGTTGGACAGAGACTGGTACCAGTGGGATTGCCTGGCAATGCATGGTGGGTGTTTGCACTTGGTTGAGCGTAAATGTTGACGGGGGTGGAGGAGGCTGTGAAGAGAAAACCTTAAAAACAGAAAGCAAGAGATGGTCCAAACAAAACTTAGGATGAGAAAAGAGGTGGATGTAGCTAATAATGAGCTATTGCAATTTAAAGGAAAGTCGAGAAGGTAGATCTTGCCTGTACTAGGAGTGCAAATCCCACCCAAGCCAGAGGCACCAGGAGGGCAGTACACTTGTCAGAGCTGATCTATGAATACTATTCTTAGGTGCAGCAGGTTATTTATTATGGATGTTTTGAACCAACATGCCATAATACATCATCTCAGATGTTAAAGCATGAGTCTTATTCCTTTAGTCTTGCAAAAATGTCCTGCTTACTCTGCTATCCAGTATGAAGTTTCTGCCTAGAACAAAATTCATTGGGGTTTTTAATTTCCCATAAGCTTTAACTTGAGTTTAATTTTTCCTTGTGCCTGTATTACAGAAGAACTGAGAAGCCAAAAGAGATTGGGACCCCCAGAAAGTAAAAAGTTACCCTGATTCTAAAGCAGGTTATGTATGTACTCCCCATCTGTGGGACAAGGCTGCGTTTTTGGTTTTCCACTCTAGATCTGGTGCCCACTTTCCCAGCATCTCCATTAATATATTCTAGAAATAACTACAATCTTTTCTATATTCCACATGAAGCAGGATGGAGCAGGCAGCAACCTCACTTGCTGCACAGCAGGATGACCAGAATGACATCTTTAGCAAAAACTTGTTGAACCCAAGATTTTTTTAAGAAGTAGCTGCTTTCTGAGAAGAGCTTTCACAGCTGCTCTTCACCAACCAGCTCTACTTAAAAGCTAAATGTACAATAGCTAAGGATGGAAAACAAAGCTTGGGTCACATATGCAAGGACTAAAGAGCTGCAAATGCCTTGTCGGCATCTCACAAGTGAGTTGGGAGAAGATGGGAGATGTTGTGGTGGCATCACAGGTGTATGAAGCAGTTGTGTAAGTCCCTGTGTAGTTCTTAGCCCAGGAGAAGCTGGAGTGAGGAGTGTCCAGTGACAGTCTAGTTTCCTGAAAAAATCAGCTTGTGAGATTGGCCCAGGACTGGAAAGACTGGGGAAAGAAGTATAATGTTATAAAGTATGTTTTAGGACAGGGAAGCTTAGGGTTTTAACCATGTGTCCTTTGTGACCCTTACGTTCAGGGGGTTGTGTCCAAGTATGGTGAGAATGGGGATGGGGCCAGAGGACTCTGATGGGAAGACCTGGAACATTAGACTTTGTACAGTGCTGACTGTCTGCAATTCTGATAAAGAACTGTAACAAATCTAAGTCCTGATGAAAAGCCATATAGCACTTGGAACATGCAGTGCCCCCTCGGTTATATTATGTTATGCAATCTCAGTGTTTGCCAAGGTGCTAGTATTACTGAGGCTCCATTTTTTAAAAAACATGATTCTAGCTCCTAAAAATCACAGATTGGCTTATAATAAGGGTTTTGGGGAAACAAACTAATATACCCCTTTATCTTTCTGCTTGTTTCATTTGGGGTGGTATTTCCCAAGCTTTGCTTGACGAGCATACAGCTTAAAAACTACAAAAAAATGGTAAAAAAAACCCCAAACCCAAAAGCTGATGCCCATCCACAGTGGCAGCATGGAGGCCGGCAGCCAGCACCCCTTCCAGCACGCAGGCAAAGGCAGGCCGCGGCTGCAGCGCAGGCGGTGTGTTCCCTGGAGTGCTGCCAGGGATGGGAACAGAGCGATGCTGGGGGAGGACCAGGAGGGGAAATAGCTCATCGGATGGTGCCGGTGAGTCAGCTGGCTTGGGACCGCTTGCCACAGAGACCCGCAGCTAGGAACGACCCGGCTCTGGCAGTTGTCTTCCCTGGAGAGGTGGCCTATGGCTATGAAACAAGCCTAGGAAAGGCTGTAAAAATAATCTGCCTATAAAGCAATTTATATTCTCAAAAGAGAGGAATGTTACGTGGAATACGATAGAAAATGAGAGGGTACCCACATGGCTGCTACCGCAATGCTTTTTTTTAAGGATTGTGAATACAAAGCAAATGCAAAGGAAATATAAATCCTCCAAAGGAAGGGAAGGGGAAGAGAGGAGAGAAAGAGGAGAAAGAAGGGGATTTTGTTGTAAAATGCTGGCACCAGGAACATCCTTACCCTTCCTGACCTGCCCAGGTGGGACAGCAAATGATTTTGCAGCACTGATGCAGCAGGCTGGTGGTATATCAGCCCTTTTTACCTCATGCTGGCCAGATTTTTCTAGGACTCATTAAAAGGATAAAAAAAGCATTATAATAAGTATGTGAATGTAATGAAGGATTTATTTATTTGATTGGTTTTTTTCCCCTCCCCTTGGGCTACAGTTACACTCAGCTTGGGTAGGCAGAGGTGAAAGGAGAGTGTATTGAACAATTTAGAGGTGATATCATTTTGGACTCTTGAAAAATCAGACTTTAAAGACCCCAAATAAATTGCTGCATGGCTCAGCTGTAACATGACATTTAGTATGTGTCATAAGTCTTGCTTCAAAATAGAGCCTGCCAGCTAGGAAAGCACAGGGGGCTTGACAGAGATAATGGATGGAATGAGACTTCCAGCTGAAGGAATGAAATGGTGAAGTCTGTAATCAAAACGTGAGGAGCATTTTAGGGATGACTGTAAAAGAGTTAGCAGAAGGAAGGCAATGAGAGTTTGAAGGCTTGAGAAATGAGAAAGCCCAGAATTGTACCTGTACTGAAACAATGCTGAGAAAGGATGCGACCAAGTCTGTGCTTCTCTAGACCCGGAGAAAAATAGCATTGTGCCTGGGAGAGAGCAGGGATCCTCACTAGACAGTGTGCCATAGACGTGGAGCAAGAGGTGGTCCATACCCTGGAGAGCTGACCATCAAACCCTGCAGGGACATAAAGTCAAAAGTTAGGGAACAGACTCCTATGCTATAAGTTTGTTTTACTCATCCTTCCCTCCTACAAGGAGCTCCCCCCGCCCCAGCTAGGGAAAACGTGGAGGACGGGAGCAATAAATCAGAGAAGAGCTAGGGGAGTTTCTTGAGAGAGCGTTGGACTCGTAAATACTGCTGTAGTGTTGGAGAAGGCAAGGTCAAAGATGCACCACGTGAGGGAATGGGGCCCGTTCTTGGAGTAACCTGCTCTAGGCACCACATCTTTGTGCCAAGAGTGGTTGGCAGGTAGCTGCAGGGAACTTGTTGCCTTTTACCAGAGATTTCTGCAGTAGGCAGGATGATCATCCCCCGTGGTGAGCTGAATTACCTAGCCAGCTGACCAGGCAGGGCAGGAAACATCACTTGCAGGCAGAGAAATGTGTGCTTAGCTCCACTGAGCAACCTAAGCGTACATCTGAGCTCTGGCTCTCTACTGCAGCAAATCAGCCTGTTTCTCATTTCAAAGATATTGTGGTTGTGGCTCTTTCAACTCACCCACCAGCATCACCGCTGTCTTGACTGGGTTTAGCCAGTTGGCTCCTTCTTACTGTATTTTCTTTTCTTTGTCAATTTGCACCCAATAGAGTGGAGGTACTGTTGCTCTTGGCCCCCATGGGTGGAGATAAGCAAAGGATTTAATTTCAGAGGACTCGTTCGGGACCTTCGGAACTCAAAGCATAAAATAGCAAGTCACAGCTCTAGAGGTGACCACAACTCCTTGTGAACCAACAGAGGAGAGACTAATCCTGGCTGCAGGGGGCTGCTGGGGGACTATGGCAATGTATGGTTTTTTTCTGAACAGATGGTAAAAGTGTTTGTGTCTAACGCTTTTCATTTCCAGCTGAAAAATCATCCCTCTTCTTCCCCTTCCACTTGCTCAATGTACAACCAATGAAAAAAAATAATGAAACTAGCATCTCTGTTACAGATAACTTCCCAGTTTTAGGGCAGAAACTGTCAATAAGGTTTATTTTATAATAAACCATATATAGAAACTGTATCTTCTAATTGCTAGACCTATGATGTGGATTTAAAACTGTTATGTTTCTAATTGATGCAGGAGTTATAATTAAGAGAAAAAGCGGAGAAATTCCATGCCCGTTGGCAGTTGAAGCCTTTGCTGCTCACCTTAGCTATATCTGCAAATACGATGACAAATACAGCAAGTAAGTAAGAATATGAGCGTGCCTGTGCGTTTGTATTTCTTTCACTCCTTCTCTGTTGCTACAATGTTTGAGTTCTCCATGTTGAGCTGCAGCTGAGGGCCCAATCCTGCTTTCATGGAATTAATTTCTGACAAAACTCCTGTTTCAGTCAAAGATCTGAAGCTGGCTCTGCACAAGGGCAGGAGCTGTATTGCTAGAGTTGTTTTGGCTCTATCTACCCATCCACAAGTCAAAAAAAAATTGGGACTTATGTTCTTATCTTGTAAATGACTTTTAAGAAGTGTTGGGAAGTTGAGCCAGCAGGCTGATGTTCTTGGCCGCATCAAATTAAGGCTAAATAGAGAATTCAACAAGGGTCTACCAGCCCCACAAATCTCGCAAGCTAGCTCAGCTCTCCACCTCTATCAGCAGGTGGTGTTTAGGTGATTATCTGTCCTGTGATATTCGTGTCACCTGGAGCCAGAAGAAAAGGATGGTTCAGTTGTGGATGTAAAGCTGATCTAGATGATCTGGGAGAGCAGAATGTAGATCTTTTGGCTTCTGAATTCCAGTTAGAGTCCTCAGTGTTAGCTCTTAATGTAGCAGGGAGAAACAGAAACGAGTAAGAATAGCAGTGGTGAAGCTTGGCTGTAGGAATAGCAATGAGGTGCAGAAAATTTTGAGCATTAAAATTGAGGAGAGAGAAAAAGCAGCACGGATTTTTCAAGCCAGTTCTGGGCAAGGCAGCAAGAATTCAGTAGAGAGATGAAAGAGGAGGAGGTGGTTGCTGGAGACCGATGCCGGGATCTGGTCTGAGGAAATCAATAAGAAAAAGAGGTAAGGTAGTAGATGTAAATGGTTACTAAAAAAGTGAAAGTAGGAAAGTGGGAAATCTTATGACCGAGGAGTGAATATTCTGGCAGTCCTAGAATTTGTCAGTACCTAAATATAAGGATGTCAGTCCTTCCTAGTTCTGCCTTATGGAGAGGTGCTCCACATACCAGCCCTGCACGCTCTGGCTCTACCCCCACATCCTCCCACCTACTGTTGACAGCAGCAGAAATCATTCTTTGCTCGCAGTAGAGATAAACAAGAGGAGAAGCATCAGCAATCTTCCCTAAACCATAACATAACGTGCCTGAGGCTTTTTTTTTAGTTAAAAATTGAAGGGATTCAGACCCACAGCTCCCATCATGTGGATGTTTGTCATGGGTAAGCTCAAGGACTCTGTATTGGTAGTCTTACTTACGTGGAGTGGTACAGAGGTGAGAGTGTTGCTGAGGTTTTGCTTCTGAGAGCAAGGAAGTCTGTTCTTTTAGAGACTACTAGAAATTTCCAAATTTAAGCAACTTAACTGTAAATGACTGTCCAATACATTGTACAAAATTTCTTAAGATGATGCTTGCACTAGGTGTTAAGTCCTGGGCCTGCTTCCCCTTTGTGACCGCAGAATCTTTGTCTGGGATTATTTCTTCCATCCCAGCTGCAAGTGTTTGGCTGAACAGTGCTTCTACCTCCCCTTCTCTCTTGACTTTTTAGGTATTTCATTTCTCACAAACCAAACAAGACCTGGCAACAAGTATTCTGGTTTGCCATCAGCATCGCTATAAACAATGCCTACATCCTCTACAAAATGTCAGAGGCCTACCATGTGACAAGGTATAGCCGCGCACAGTTTGGTGAAAGACTTGTAAAGGAGCTTCTGGGCTTGGAAGACACCTCACCCTCCCATTGATGCATTGTTCTTGGTGGCGTAGGCAGGGAGCGGAGGGTAAGCAGAAGAAGATACCACACCTGGAACGGCAAAGCAAGGAACTTGTGACACCACCAGTGCTGTCCTTATCCAAAAATGCCAAGTGATGCCACTAGAGAGGTGGAAACTTTGTTCCTAGTAGCAGCTGGATGTATACATGTCCTGCAGAAAGTGCCACTGGAAAAGCTGACACAGAATTGCATATGTGAATGCCCTGTGGGAATCTGTACACCAGAAACAGACTCAAGTTAGTCATCATCTCAATACTATCTGTTCAACAGGGTCATCTTGTAAAGTTCTTCTTGGGCTAAGAGCTTGTCATAAGCTGACGTAGCTCAGCAGTCCTAGGCGGGTGTTAGAGAAAACTCCGTACCTTACTTGGAGTTATTCAATCCTGGGACAAACAACGTAAGTCTACACCGTGGGCTGTGGGTGAGAGTGCCTGCCATCCTGTACGGCCTCGCTGCTGTCCTCCCAGTGTGCTAAACGAAGCAGTTCAGATACACGAACACTGAAGCAAGCGTATTGACAAACAAAACCTTCGCAGGCAGGCAGCCAGGAACTGAGGACCAGTTAAGACTTTTTCTTTCTGTCTTTTTTTTTTTCTTTTCTTTGTTTTGATTAATGTAATGTAAAGCAATTTGATCCCAGTTAGAACACAGCAAAATTAGGAGAAAGCAAATACATTAGTGAATTTAAAATGGAAATATATTACATTGGTTTTCTTTTTTAACCAGGACAGAACATTTTGTACGCAAACAAACAGTGAATAATACTGTAAGTATTAACAGTGAGTAAACGAGTAAGTAATACTGCCTGACTTCTTAACTGCCACAGTCAGCGTACACGTGAGAAATCAGAGTATAACAATGATATTTTTTCTTGATTTCAACTGTATCTTAAATGTTGCTTAAAAATCTAATGTAATGGACTGTTAAGTTCTTAGGAACAACAATTTCTTTCTTTTTCCTTTTGTAACTGTCAAGACTTGTTTGGTCCATTTTAGAACTTCATTTGGCACACAGTTGGCAGGAAAAAAATAAGTCACTAATAGCAGTGTGTTTCCCATTATCACTGCAGGGTGTTCTGTAGGAATTCTTCTTGTTAGAGTTCGGGGCTTGTCACAGTAGTTGTAATTAAGCAGATTACATGTTTAGCAAAATAACATAGCATTGTGTTTTACAACAAGAAAGAAGTCCAGTTGCAACCAGCCCTTAAAGCTCACAAAACCAGAGCAATCCCAAAGAGTTCTCCTGTTCTGAGTAACACTGTAGAGGCCAAGCATCGTCATTGAGCTGGGGTCCATGGCTGAAATGCCATGTTTTGGTGCTGGTGGAATCTGAAGGTCGCTGAAGCTTTGGAAAACAATGCTGAGAGAGAGAGGTATGATTGAAACAGGGGAGAATCAACACTGAGGTAAAATACTAACCTGCCCTCTACACATTATTGATTTCAGTCTACAACTCAATCAGCAAAACCCTCTGTATTCTAAAGGTTAGCAGTGATGGACACAAACAGAATTGCATTAACTTACAGGACAGAAACCATCTTGCTTAGAGGACCAGCTGGTTTTAGGTCCCCAAGCCTGAAAAGTTTTACCTAAGAATGACTTAGGTTGATTGATTCAAGAGGAACGGAGTGATTGATTGCTTGATTTCTTTATCAGTGTAAACCTCACCAGGTTATAGGTGTCTGTCTGGCAAGAGGCAATAAAGGCTAACCAATACAAATTTGAGAACTCCCCAGATTTCATCATTATGTGATATGCAAATGCATAGCATGTAAATCACACCAGAGGAAGAATCCAGCAGAGGTTAGTAAATGACTGACTAGCCCAAAGAGCATCCTTGCGCTGCCATCTTTCTATTTCCACCAAAGTCTTACTTTTTTGGCATAGCCTTAGAAGCAGATCCCACCTGGTTTCGGGGAAGAGTAAGGGGACGGCCAACTTCATACCTTTCTCTCCCTGGGCATTGTTTCCCCCATGGCCTGCTCTGCCTGCCAGCTGCACAGTGTACAGCAGTGGGTTTCCTAAGCATCCCTTTTCACTTCTCAGTCCACAAGGTCTCCACCCAGGAAACGTGGCAGAAAGGACATAACCTTGTGCACCGAGACCTCCTAGCCTCAAAAGGAAGGAGAGTTTGTACCACTCTAGTCCTTGGCAATGCCAAGCTGCATAGGAGCCCAAGGATGAGTTCAAAACTTCTTGGCACTGCAGAGGATGGAGACCACCCCTCTTCAGACTGAGCATGTGGGGTAGCTGGGTCTTGTCAGTCTTGTAAGTATTCAAAGGGGGAGAGGAGCTAGCATGAGGCATGAAAAACAAATGTTCTGCAATATAAGCCCACAGTTTCCTTTTTTTAGGGAATTCCACAGAGGTACCTGAAGGCATGTGGCGTTCTTATTGCTCCTTGCTTCAGACAATGCCAGCCTATATTGCAATAGGAAGAGTAGCTACAAGTTCATTACGTCCTGTGAATTTATACAGTAGTCAAAATTGGGGCAGAAAGGAAAGGTCTGGCTGGAACTTTGCTGGTGGGATGGCTTGAATGAACAGTAGCTGCTGGGAGCCCAGCTTCCTTGCATTGCCCTGCCGTGGTGGAGCATTTCCAAGGTGCACATACCCCCAGCAGAGATGGGGAGGTTTGCAGGACGTCCTCGGAGCCACTTGGCTCTTCTGAGGAGTGAGCACAGCACTCTCCAGCTCTGTCGTAGCCCCCCGAGATAGATCTGGAGTCCTTGGCCAATTGTTACATTACTATATATGCTTAAAGGCTTGGATCTAGGCCATCCCGTACAGAAAATGCCTTTTCTTTTTCAGGTGACAGTAGGTCCAAGGCCTTGGAATGTTTAATTTTCCACTAATGTATGCTGTTATTTATATGGATTACTTGAGCTAAAATCATGAGGTCCTAGCTTTTTGCCTCAGGGACTGGGTCCTGAGTAGTTTTCCCTAGAATTGGTATTAACGGGGGATTACACAGTGGCTAACTATTACAGGGAAGATGCTTTAGTCTCCTTTGTAAAGGAGAAAAATGGAGACAAAATTATAGCTTTGCAATGAATTTCATTTTCTTAGCCTTAACCATCCCTCATCATTTTGAACTGGTGCCCTAAACATGCACAAACATTCCATAAGTAAGCAAAAATATTTATATATATTTATATGTACAAAATGCCTGAATTTTGGCTCTCGAAGCCAACAAGCAAAAGCCACCAAAGCGTAGTCTGTATCCATAGATGACTATACCACCTCATCTTCTCCATTTGGATAGGGTTGGGGAAAGTTAAGATTTCTCCTTGTTGAAAAAGCATCTTGCACTTTCTTTATGTTAATACAAATGAGGCAAAGTAATTAAGGAAGAAATTGAATAATTTTTAAAAGGCAAAAGTTTGTTAACTGCAGCTCAGCTTCTGTAGCATTTCCTTTACTGCAAACTGGCTTACTCAGATTTGTTTCCCTACCTGCTTGTAACATTAAGGCTTCCCCCTAGTTAAAGGGGAAAAAAAAAAAGGGGTGTGGGGGGGGTGGGTTAGTCTCAAAGTAGTGCAAGGATGCTAGTTATAGTGTGCACGTGTGTGTTAATTGTGCAATGGCTTGTGAAATGATAGCAAGTTTGGGTTGTTTGGGGGGTTGTAGCCTTGAGACAATCTGGGTAAGAGATCTTAAAGTTCAGCAGTAGCTGAAGTGCAGTGGAAATGCCAACCAGGTCACAGAGGTCACATCTCTAAATTTTTCCAGACAAAAAAAACCTTCTGAAAACTGAAAATTACTTCTTTATGGTATGCAAACTTTGTTTCAAAGAACTGAGACCATCAGTAGGACATACTGACCACCTTCTATGCACAGTACTGCTTTCAAGAAATGTCTGTCGTGCCACGACCTATTCTTGGAAAACATTTCTTTTCCCGGTGTGTAATAGAACACTCACTAGAGCTTAGAAGCCACTGTGAAATGGTTTCCACTGCTGTTATCTCAGTTGAAAAATGCTTCAAGGGCTTGCAGAAACTGCCACTTTTTACTTCAGTCCATTTGTGCACTTGACACTAGGGCACAATTTAAAGAAATCTCATCTCTGTTTTCCATTTCTATTCTTTAGCCCCAACCCTTCTACATTTACAAGGTAGTCCGAGAATCCCAATTTATAGAAGTCTCAGTGTCCCTAATGGGTACAATGTTGTTTTCTTCAGACAATTTCTAGAGAGAAATACATTTAGCTGTTTCCAGACTGACATTAAGGACAGCAACTCAAAACAGCATTCCCATTCTTTTCCTCCAGCTACACTTCTGTGGCTTTTTTTTTTTTTTTTTTTGGCTGAAGAGGTTTTTTTCCTTCCAAAATTTATTTAGTAGTCTGTCTTGAGCTGGCGAGTAGTGAAAGAAGCCTCCAATATCTCAGTCTTACATGTCTTAGTCCCCTAGTTCTGGAGCTGATTTTAGTGATGAGTGGGGTGATGATAATTCTGCACATCTGTGCTACTTTCCATGCAAGGATGGCAAAGTGCTTTAACAACCTTGACACTCATGAGACATCATTAGCTCCTCAAATAGGAGCTTCCCCTTTCCTAATCAGACACCAAGGCACAGCACAGGTAAGGGGGTGATGAAACTGTAAAGTGGAGTTTGCACTCCTGCTGATTTAAGTCTAAGTTCTGCATTTTCAGTGACTTAGTTCTTGTTCAAATGCACTTTTCCAAACTAGAAGTGAAAGCATGCTGAACGTTTTTCCACCCTGAAGTAAGGTCTGTGGGACTTTGTCAGCACAGGTTCTCTTTGCTATGAGTCAAAACCAAGTTGCACTGAAGGCAAGAGAAAACTGGATAAAACATAGCAGCCCAACCTGCCTAGAAGAGATAAAATGGAGAATCTGAACCTCCACTATAGTCCAGTAATCAATGTGAAATTCAGTCAAATAATTACTAAGACTGACTTGAGAAAAGTCACTGAGGCTCAGATGGAATATGAAGTCTTCCATCCATCTCTGTTGGAGTTTGCCATGGCACTTTCTTGTTGCTAGAACTGATGTAAGATTAGTTGTTTGTAAAACAAGAGCTCATCTCAATCTGGTTGAGAACATTCAAGTGTCAAAGGACTGTTAGCAACACTTTACAAAGGCAAGGAATTCTAAGCTCAAAACATGTATATATTTGGCCTCTCATTAACTGGGATATTTTGCACAGACAGATCACATCATCATCTGCTCAAATCCAAGCCTATCACCAGTGCTACTTGATATATGTTCCTCCTTGTAACAGTTCTTCCCAAACCTACCTTTGTTTCCAGAAGCATTA